GGCCCTTTACGACTTGGGTCATAAAGGCCCATCACCCGACACAATAAGCGTTCGTCTACCCTTTGTTATGTACTAATAGAGGTCGGGAGCACGACTTGCTCTCAGAGCAGAGGTTGCCCATCCCTGCACTAATGTATGCCGACGATGCAGTGCTGATAGCGGAACAAGGATAAGAGCTGGGAAAAATGCTGTTAACGTTGGAAAAATGAGGCCGGGTTAAGAGGAAAGAGGAGAACTCGAATGGCAAGGGAGAAAGGCTGGGGGTAGTGAACGGATTTAAGTACTCAGGCTTCTGGTTCACATCGGGAAACAGATACTCCAAACACGTATTAAATGTGGGGAAGGCGCAGCTGCTCATAAACAAAACCTGGGAAGAAATGAACAGGAGCAAACAGAGGAGTTTAAGAAGAAGACTGTACCTCAATGCAGTTATAGTAAAAGCACCGGCTCTGTATGGGGTCTAGCTCTGGAGGTGGAAAAGGCAAGAGGTCATCGAGACGATACAAAAAAGATATGTGAAGGCAAGTACGGGGCTGTCCAGAAATACGCCAGACTATATGTGGAGGATGGAGGCTGGGATGAAAAGTGTAGAGTTAGAGGCGGTAAGAAGAGCAGCATTATTATTCCTGGTGAAAATCAACGGATTGGAGGAAGAAAAATGGCCGATAAAATGCTTGAGGGAGGAACTGAGGGGAATGAAGAACGGGCAGCCGTCAAGATGGGGGAAAATGATACCGGAGAGGCTGCAGGAGGTAGGGGTCGGAGGGCCAATGGAAATACAATGGAAAGGGGAAACTGTAAAAGCAGAAGAAAGAGTAAGGAAATAGTGCAAATAGAGAACCAGGAGATTCAGAAAGACTGCGGAAAGATCGAAGACTCAGGATACTGCACCTACTATCAGGAAACAAAGCACAACGGGGAAATGAAAGAATATTGGCAAGAGAGGAAGTTAAGCAGGGAATAGAAGATGACAGGTGCGCGATGGAGATGTTGCAATGCATTAGTAGGGAACAGCAACGGCATGAGAAAAGGCAAGTGCAAAGTGTGCGGCAGGAAAAAAGAAGTATTGGAGCACGTGATCTGCTGTAAAGTGCTATTAGGGAGGCTAGAGCTAAAGGGCAGACAGTGGTGGAGGCATTGGAGGAGACAAGGCAGCAAGCGGGACTGGACGGGAAGGCTCGTTAGAAAGCTAAATGGAACCCCCAAGAAGAAGCATTGCAAGAGGCTAAGAAAATTGGAAACAAAGCTGCGAGAACTAGAGGAACAAAGAAAGGAACGACGAGACAAGGAAGATTGACCAGCGTCAAAAGAAGGCACAGAATGAAGAGAAACTCCGAAAATGGAAAATAGAAGCAAAGCTTAATAAGAGAGAGTAGGAAAATAAGATAATCTACGCTGTGATAATAAGTTATGTATGTAAGGTTATGAGAGAAAAGGAGTGCGGAAAATATAAAATATAGTAGACGGGTAAATTAAGGCGTGTGAGGATGTGAAACCAAGAAAAACCATTTGTAACGTCAAAGGAATAAAAAATTATTATTAATTATTATAGTTACCCTAACACGACAAATTGGCAAAACTTGAATATGGCCGAATACAAACCTTGCATTCGAAAGAAAAATACTCTATAATAAAATTAACTGGTCAGACAAATGAATTATTATTCAGTTATTATAATGACAAAAGGGCCAATCACAATTTTCAACAATTTCATCGGTCGATTTCGAAAAGTCAATAGTCACTTTTTTAATTTCATAAATACTCTCTAATAATTTCGAGCATATGGAAAATAAAAACAGTGCCGAAGAAAAACGCAAAAACAATTCAACAATAACTTGCAGGCTAAAAACATTAAACCCAACATGAGCAAAAAAAAGTTGTCATATATTAAATCTTGGTCAGAATTTAATAACATTCAACCATCGCCAAGAGCATAGAGAGGAAGAAAATAGAATACTTCAATATTCTAAATATTGTGATAATCCTCTCCTGTGAGCCCAACGCAGAGCTAGTCGAGGAGGAAGTGACAGGTTAATAGAGTCAAGAGTAACATACAGCAAAGATATAATTTTAGTTTTATCTACGGATAAAACTCCCTAATGTCACAAGTGCGAAATTTTCGTCTTTTTCAAGGGCAATCGTCATATTTTTCAAGTTCGCTATGACGAATTGAGATTCAGCAATACATCGGATTTTAGAAATAGGATACGTTTAACATTTAAGACAATGGGGGATGACGAGATCGAGGGAGATGATGTTCCCTGCCATCCAGACATGGCATCAGCAGTCCCACGGTCAGATAGAAATGCCGCTCTAGTTATGCTGAGCGGTTTGACTGACTTGGCATCAGTGATACCAAGAATTCAATATGGGAAACTAACCGTGAAACTGCTTAGCTGAGCAAATAGAGACTTGGAAAATGCTTTGATCAAGTTGGGAGGACTCTGGAGAGAGTAGAGTGCGATCGGGAGCTGATCAGAACAGACTTCTGAGCTCCAGGCCTTTTGCCATACACTCGATTCAAAGTATCCATGTCTCGATTTCCTTTGGAGTTTTCGATTAAATAGATTAAAATTACACGATAATGGCCTGATTATTGGGATGGAATACGCATGCCTCAGCGATTCACCTTGGACATTTGACTTGTCTGGATTAAGGCCTGGACATGAGACGTCTGCTCTGTTTAGCCCCCGATCATACTACGGATCTACCGTCTCCAAAGTCCTCACAGCTCCGTCAAAGCTCTGTCCAGATCTCAATTTGCTGAGCTAAGAAATCTTACGGTCAGTTTCCATGATTATTTTTTTGGTATCACTAATGTCTCCATTATTACCCCTGTCCCCATTAATGCAACTTTCGGCACATTTTTAATTTTATCGGCGTGAAAATCTTTTTCGTACCATTGCTTCACAGCAATCGCTAGATTGCTGTGTTTTTTCCTGGCTTTTTTTTTGCCAAAAATCATACGTTTTCCAGCTTGGGAAGTACTTTTTATTAAATTACGAAATCTGTCAGAGGCGCTGATCTTGGTAAAATTGGTGTGGCTCCTCTGTGGGAGGTTAGAGCGATCTGTTTTGTTTTTCGTTCTATTGTTAAAATGTAAGTATTGTGACGAGGCAGAATTTTGAACCCAGGAGCGAAACTTTAAGGTTGTTGTCGTGTAAACCCGTTTTTCGACAGATTTTTTTTCAATTCTCGCTATAGATAGCCCTTAAAATTCCCTCCAAAATGAGCACAACAAAAAACCAATCGTCAGTTTCTGAGCTGAGATATGATTTTTTGAATTAACATGGGTTCAAATGCATTTCACCGTTTTTATTAAAAAAAAAACCACTCGACATTTTCTGATGAAATTAACACAGAACGTAGAAATAGTGACCACCAATATACTGAAGAAAAAAGAAAGTGATCGTCAGTTTCGTAGTAGAGTAATAAATTTTCAAAGTAGCATTATTTCTCCCAGTGGGCGAAGCGCATGGGTTTGTTGCGCGCGACGCGACAACAACGCTTTTTGCTCGAGTGGCGCGAATCTATTTGGAATAGTCAATGACGAATCAAAGGGACGATTCATAAATAAAATAAATATATTGAGTGAGAAAGAGAGAGACATGAAAACAGAGACACGCTGCGCGTGGTTGCCATGATCGGCACCATTTAGCGTTAGCTGTGTATACATGTATGCATGCATGGTTGATTCTTGTGTGCGTGAGTCGAGTGGAACTGTACACCCGCAAAAGTTTATATTCTAACTCGTATTCTCCGCTTAGCGGAAGATCAACCCGGAGCGTAGTAAATTTTAAGCCTGACTCTCTCGCGACAACAACCTTAAAGAAGGAGGGAGCATTGGAAGGAACGGGGGCTAAACAAAAACGAGCCAACTTACAAGAATTAATGACAAATAATCGAGAAATTTCGAGAGTTGTTCGTCAAAAGCAAAAGTAAACGAACATGGAGGATAAAAGACTGAAAAGAGAGAGAATGGGAGCTCAGAATTAGAAGGCTGCCAACAGGAAAGACAAAGGAAAACCTTCAAGGAAGAGAACTTCACGAAAATCGGTTCCTGGCGTTGGTGTGATAGAAAAAGTGACGATTCGTAAGGAATTGCAAATTGTTGCCAAAGAAATAAAATACGGACTAGTGAGCAGAACTTTACATACAAGCGACATCCAAAATGCAATATTAAAGCCCCGACAACTTGATGAATAATTATATGCATTGATTGTTGTGTCATAATTCTAGACAGTATTTGTAAAAAATGCATTTACTCGTTGTTATAATGAAGAATTTTCTTAAACCTCACTGATATTTCGATGATTTTCGAAAAATTGAACATGATTGAACTACCCTATGAAATTAATGCACGGAGAGAAAAATCTATGAATTTTTATATTGTGATTCCGATAAAAATTACTGTGCTGCCTTACAATCTAGGTGTAAACTGCAGGCCTGAGAAAAATTACTATGCCATACAGTAACATTTCTTCATCTGCCAAGCAAAACTTCGTTATCGGCCAAATAAAAATTCATAGTCGTCGCAACAGTTACCATTGTTAAATTCAACTTCGGCAAGAATCGGAAACATTCGACGTTCATCGCTAACCAATCATATTGGGTTAAAAAATGTTTGGAGAAAATGCTGTGTAGCACAGTAAAAATTAGAAGAGAGCACAATAAAAAATACCGATCTAGATAGGAAGTTTTGAAGGATTTCTATCAATTTTTCATTCAAACTCAATCAAAAAATGATAGACCTTCAAATTTTATAGTGCTGTTTAGTAAATTTTATAGAGCCACACATGATTAATTACGGAATGTATAAGAAAATTTGACATATTGATAGTAATTTTTATTTGTGAATCAAAGAATTTCTGGTATTCTAGCATTTTGCATCACGATTGTAGTGCTCGGCACAGTAATTTTTCTTGGACTTTTCTCTCCGTGTGGGAACAGGGGTGGCAGAGATGGGGACATTGGAGCATTGACTTCAATCATCAATTTACCGATGCTGATGCCTTCTTCGTTCTCATCATCCCCCATTGGCTTTAGTATTAAATATATCTTTTTTCTGAAAACCGACGTATTGTTTAATTCCAATACGTCACATGGCTCGGTCTGAGATCGTCTGGAATAAGTGCAGAATGAGTTTAGGATTTTTTTTTTAGAAAAAGAATAAATCAAAAAAGGAGAACTACGAAAAAATAACGGGTTTTCTTGAAAATGGCAAAGATATAATGGAGTTTATCATCTTGAAATTTTTGATATTCTATTCCGAAAAGTTCATTCAACAATAAGAATTTTGACAAAAAACTGACAAAGGGACATTGAAAAACTTATATCTATTTGAAAATGAAAAAATTATGTTTTATTTTAAATTCATAACTTTTTTTCGGTTGGATAAAAGAATTCGGACAAATTCTAAGAAACGTTCCTCATGCGGATTCAAAAGTGGTCGATTTGGCATGGAATACCCCATGTTTATCAAAAAATTGTTTGACACAACAGTGCTGGAGATATTGTGATTAAAATATTTTTCAATGATTTCCTTGAGCTCCAATTTAACAAGAGTATATTTATTCGAAACATATTTTTGAAAAAAAAAGGAAAACAGACGCTGATATCTACTGTAGTACGATTAAAAATCCTACATAATTTGACATTTATATTTGTCAACCAAATCGGAGATGAAAGCATGAACAGTTTCACGTAGAAATAAAATAAACTAGAAAGAGTTCAGACGGTAATTACTAGTCGATAAGACTCACCAATGTTGTAAACATGTTCTACGTATCCGTTTACGTCAAAATTTCGATTACTACAGTACCACGTTCACCACAGTACTATACCAGAGCGTGACGTTGTCACTCAAAACTGGTTTCCGCCTTTCTCCACTTCGTTTTTTACATTAACGATTTTTAAGGATGATTTTTTCCAGTATGTGGTCCCAAATTCCAACTAGTGGCATTCTATGAAAAAGGTCACGATAATACTTTCACTGATGATTATCGGTAAGCGATTGGACTTGTACTATTCGATTTTTTAAAAATAATAGTGTATAGTAATAATAGTGTATCTCTAAACATCTGATCACATTTTTAAGGTACCCTCCTCCAGAAATAACAGGGGAGATTGCCACAGTCCCTGTACAAAACCTTCAGCATTGATGAAAGCGATCAGAGCTCGAACCTGTATGTAAAACAGGGCATGAGATTGAGAGTGTTGATAATAGTATATTTTGTTACGTTCCAAGCTGGTTCTCTGATTTCCAGATGGCGGGTCCGATGCCCGTGGAGTGCAAAACCACTCTGCGGCTTGAGGTCAAATTTTTCGAGTTTCAATGGTTGATGCATCAGTACGACTGAAACTCCTCGTGTTAATCCGCGTAAAGACTCGCAAACGTTAGTTAGTTAGTTAGCAATCTTTTAGTATTGAATCTTACCTAGATAAAAAAGGTTAACTCTAGTATGATTCGTTTAATATAATTATCAAATAGTAACGGGAACATTGGGAATAGAAGATACCTCATGAAATTATCATCACATCCAAATTCCATTAAACCGACTTTTTTTTATCTGGAAATGGTACAACATCGTCATTTATTACAGTGTAGGTAAACAGGATTTCGAAGGTTATCGACGGCACTTGTGTGGTGAATTACCTTCCCTATAGGTAATTGATCCACTGGGCGAATGGTAATAAATAATAAATATTCAATTAATAAAATTTTTGATCAATAAATTGGGATAAATATAAAAAAATTTGCTAAAACGCGATTTTTTTTTGGAAATCTGTGTCTAAATTGCATTAAAAAAAATAATGCACTATTCTACAGTATTTCTTATACCGGAGGCTATGGAAAATTTGAGTATACAGGGTGTCCCGGAAGTACATGTTAATCCTTTACCAGCATGTACAGGGGGTGATTCTGAGCCGAAAAGTCGTTTTCTTATGAAATTTCGTATAAGATTTTCAATAGGATTCACTGAAAGGTTTTGCACCGAAAATTACCACATCACATTGTAACTCAGGCCAATAAGTTTCAAGTAAAATAAATCAATATAATTTTTCTTTCGTCTGTCCCTCTCATTTTCGGATTTTCGGAACTCTTCTGAAGTTGATTGACTCATTTGAATGAAAACCATTCTTATCCTCTCAGTCTTCAAGAACAAGATGAAAGAAGAGAGAGAAACAACGAGGAGGGAAATACATTGATAAATGGTCCTGAGGTAAACTCTGTTGTCCCTGAAATTGCTTAAACCCCCCCTTTCCTCTGCTATAGCCGTTGACGCAACGAGTGAATGCTATTTAATTCAATATTTTGAATAGCTACAAAAGAGTAGCGGCGGATAAGTCACTCGTGGTGTTCGTCCAGCGATGGTAGATGGTCGGGAAAGGTGAATTCAGAGTTTTAGGGAAGTGCTCAGGACTATTAGATAAATTCATCGTTCTGTGTGTCCATTGTCTTTAAATGTGCTAACATATAATGTCTGTGGAGCTAACACACCGCCACGTCTACGCACTGGTCCTGGGTAACGCAGAGAGCGGTGTATTAAATGTCATATCTCCCACACTAATTGTTTCCGGATAAAAGGGTGGCCAGATCACAGGTGATGGAAACCCAAGCGACCGAATAAAAAACATCCAGAATGGCTTAGTGGACCTAAACTAGACATTTACCGCGACTTTCTGTAAGTTCTATTCTTCTTTTCAACTTAAGACCCCGGTGAACTATCTATCGAACGTCGACTTTTGTTTAAATTTTATCTTTTTAACCTAAAATACATTCAAATTTGGGATCAATTTCGTGTTGTGGGAAGCACTTCAATGGACATAAAAAAAATAATGAAAAAAGAAGAAAAAAAATTATTGAAGAATGCTAAAGATCGACTTTATTTAAAAAGGATTTACCAAGCTTATTAAAAAATAATAAAAAATAAGTAGCTTACTATTGCATCTAGCAGTCACTCAATCTTCTGGACAGCAATGGTAAGCTGCGTAATTCTTATTATTGTTTTTTAACTTGGTAGATCCCTTTTAAAGAACATAACTCTTTTTCGCCCTTCAATAATTTTTCCTCTTTTTTTCATGATTTTTTTATAACCACTCCAGTAGCTCCCGCAACACAAATTTGATCCCAAATTTTAATGTATTTTAGGCTATGAAAATAAAATTTTAACAAAAGATGACGTTCGATAGATAGTCCACCCGGGCCTTGATGAATGACTCTACAGCCCGTCCAGACTATAGTCAACTTCACGAAGTAGATTTCATCATAGATCACTCCTAGAAGGCCGCAAATGTCGTTGAATTTCTTGAAACTATTTTAGACTTAATAAATTTCGAATGAAAAGATGCTCTGACGCATGCGTACTATCCATCATCACAAACGAAATCATTACAATGGAGTGAAAAAAATTAAAGATCATCAGAGGCTTGAAAGCGAATTTATTAATTATTAGTATTTGCGGTAAAGCATGATACTTTTGTTATGAGAATGATTTGTAGATAATAATTGTAGTCCTGTCATCCTCGCTGTTCTCAATAAGAATCATTACTACGATTCCAATCAGTGTTGATTGTTTTGCTCGGTGAATTTTTCAAGTAATCCTATCTATAAAAGGTGATACACCAAAATTAAGTTGGGCGAGAGTAAGATTGGCTAACTTCATGCGTAAGACTTTTCACTCGTAACCCTATTTCTCATTGGTCAATTGGCTACGTCATCATCAACACCACGGAATCAAACGGCGCGCGGAGCGCGCGTTCGGTCTCGTCAAATAATAATAATTCATTACGAGTAATGACATAATTTCAGTTCATTGTGCTAATCTAGGTGTCAATTATTTTCTCACATTTGATGCTGATGAAGTTGTGATAAAAAATCATGTAGGTACAACTGAATTACATTTTGATACGCTTTATATTCAGAGTAGTGAAATGTCCATCAGTTTGTCAAAAAAGTGAATATTCAGTAAACAAATTAAAGACTTTCATAATTTCTTGATTACTTTGTGGTATTAGATTTGCATCATGTTATAGCATTAGAAAAAGCATTTTGAGCAATTTACTGTTTCAGATATTGATTTGACATGAATAATTTTTTTTTATTTATTCATACTCATCAATTTCACAATAAAAATAAATAGAACCAACTTAATTCTGGGAAAGCTCCAAACTTGTTATGACGCGTTAGGATTGTTATAAAATCGTGATTTAAAAAAAAAATACTGTTCATAATTTCATTGAAGAAAAATATTCTCCTCATCCCTAAAAAACACAAATTGATTTCTCTCGATTGTTGAGTTGATATGGCATTAAAAAATTCTAGTTTGAATTGACTGCAACAATTACTTATGAGAATGATATTTACTATTTACTGATAGGACACATGACTTCATTGACCTGCAATGACTCTCCCATCAGATACATATTGACTGAAATATTTGTTGTTTAAAGAATAAATCAATCTTTATTTGTTCAATATTTCCAATGCACATAGGAATTTCACAATTATTAATTCGGTAAATGCGTATATTGAGGGGCCTCACCTATTTCTACTAGAAAAAAGACCCGATAAAAAACTGCTCTCCGAAGGTCGAAAAACGTATTACAGTTGGAATTGGTGCTTCATTCGTGTTTTTACACTAGCTTTAAGCGAAAAAATATCATAAGGTTGGGTAGTATTCAGTACACTCAACACGCTAGGACCTTGTATTTACCAAAATAATAACAAGATGATTGAAGACGACAACGGAATCAATAATTATAACACACCAGTAATACAAGTGTACCAAAGTGTACAGTTGTGTGTATTCCAGCGAGCGGTGAACATGAGGCTCCTCGGGGTTCATAATTTGTGTTCGAATCAACTGGGTCTTATCGAAGATTTACGGAAAGATAAAGTGTTGACAAGTGAAGTGAAGTGCCCAAAATGCAGGAAGAATATGAAATTCAGTGCTGATGAATTGCAGTTTAGATGCAGGAAGAGGACAATTAGCTATGATTCCCATCGGAGAAAATACAACGCCCAATGTGACACTAAAGCCAGTGTGGTCAGTGGATCATGGTTCTTCCAAGCCCGGATATCACTACCCACAGCTGTAAAGTTACCTACACATGAAGCTTCCTCGACAAGATTTCCTTTGCAGTGCGCTGGACCTCAAAAAAAAAACAGTTGTTGATTGGTCGAATTTCATTCGGGAAACTCTCATCGACTGGTGTGAAGACCACACTCAGAAGTTGGGAGGCTCAGAGAAGATTGTGGAGGTCGATGAGTCAAAACCTGGCCATCGTAAATACAACCGAGAAGGTATGGTGGATGGAAGATGGGTGTTTGGTGCAATAGAAAGAGAAAGTGGAGCTCTAGCTATCACCGTTGTGGAGAACAGCAGTGCTGTAACACTGGTGCGAATAATAAAAGACTGGATTCTGCCCGGTACTACCATTATATCAGACGGCTGGAAGGCATACCAAGAACTGGACCATGAGGGGTTTCAGCACTTAGTTGCCAACTACTCAATCAATTTTGTGGATCCAAAAAACGGAGCGCATACACAAAACATTGAACGAAAATGGAGAGACGTAACGGATATGATCCATACATATGGCGTCAGAGAGAAACACTTCCATGGATACCTGGCGAAATTGATGTTCAAAGGGGCGGTGGAGTACAAGGAAAGGTCTGATAAATTTTTTCGAACGGTAGCAAAACATTACCCCCCAAGCCCACTACCCGAAAACACCGACTGAAATTCATCCACATCTAAGTGTTGTCCGTTGTCGTGATTGTACCAAAACGTGATGTCTTTCTACCATAAGACCTATTTCACTCCCTTTATGAGAATGGTGGATAAGTAGATTCTTCTGAAAAGGAGAATCGAAACTAAAGTGCAGGGCTGTACAGTGCCTGTACATAAAAACAAATTTATAGTAAATATTCAAAAATAATTGAATATTATTGCCTTCAGGAGGAGAGGCGGAAAACAATAGAGATGATCCCTCAGGTAACAGACATGCTAGCCACGTGAGTCAAGTCGCGAGTTAGCGGTGCGACGGGGGGGGGGGGGGGGGGGTATCTAGTATACGGCATACAACCACATGGACACAGTACAGCCTTCCAAAAACGAAAACAAATGCGACAAAGAGATAGGACACACCGACGATATACATACAGGGTAAGCGAGACTAAAGAATTAACATCTGCATTGTATGCGTTTCCGACGCGAGAAAATTTAGAATCGGGGGTGAGGCCCCGAATATTTACCATATTTCTATAGTAATTCCGAGAATTGCTGTTGATTGTTGAAACTTTCCATCAATTTTTTTTCTTTTCCAATACAACAGGCAATTATTATAATATAATTTTTGCATAAAATTTATTGAATTAAAACATGTTTTTCAGTTGAAAATTGGTCAGCACCAGTTTATTTCTCGTTTTTTGTTCGATTCATGGAACTTCCAATTAACAACGAAAGTTCAAAATAATTTTCAAAACATTTCGTTCGTTCTATCGAGAGTATGTTTTCGTTAGTCATATTTCTAATTTATTCAGTCTCATCGTCACAAAAATACTACCCGTCTTAGTGTGTCTCGTTATACCTTAAGAAGTTCTTGGTGCATCTATATAAATATCAATATATGCCAGCATATACATAATAAAATATAATCTCAAAAATATTTACAAGAGGCATAAGTTCGTAGATATTACCGGTTGAAAAAAAAATCTGCAATCGCGTACCCGAATTTCTCATTTTGTGTACCTTACCGACTACATTGACGGAATGCTTTGTTATTCCTACATACGATTGAGAGATCTGGAAGTGATTATTTCCATATGACCAGTGCCGTGGGAATTATTGGGGTCAATTTTTATTGCTCATGAAGATGTAGCCTAAGTAAATTCGGAGTCGCTGCCGGAAGACAAACGTGAGGATTGTATGTGCAGCCTGTCCGACAGATGCTGGTATGTAACTCTGCAAAGTAAATAATCATACTTAATATTTGTTATAGAGTGTTATAATTATTGAGTTTCACTAGAAATCCCAGCGAATTCACAAGGTACTTGTATGGTTTTTTGATTGTTTTATCTGATTCCTTAGCTAATTCTATTCTTATAAAATCATGAAATTATTGCCCCTTTTTTTGCCGTGAGGGTTATCGCAATGGCTTCTGAAATAACAAATTAACGAGTTCACTTCAGGCTTGCTAGACGAATCAAACAGCCTTCACAAATCAATGAAAGATTATATTATATCTTCATCGAGTCGTAGCATCGATGGTATTTTTCTTTTTATTTAAGTCGTTAACTGGGATTGGAAATCATTTCAGTGGATTATGAGTTTCTAAATTATCTTCGAACTTTCCAGATTTCAGGAGGGATTGTTTAATTTAACCGTAGAAGCTTAATTGGCTTATTGTGATTCAAATAATTTTGATACACCTTCCTCGCTACTTACTCTTCACAGTCCATCTAGCGTATGTTTATAACTGAAATCAATTTTACGGAATTTTTTATTAATTAATCCACAAAGAATATACTATACAAATCGACAAAAAATAATCCATAAGTTAAATTCTGTTTTTAATGCTTAACGAAATTTATTGCAAGTTAAAGAATACGAATTTTACGTCACGAGACGAATCACATATTTTCGTACAAAGAAATTTCTTAATTAATAAAGAAATAAAAGAAATTGAAAGAAAAACCAATGAGTAATATCAACCGAAATTTCGCATATAAACCATGTCTAAATATCGATCAATATTACTCATATAAAAATGAAACAAGAAGAGGAATTTTTCTTATTGTTCATACGAGTAGAAGTCACCTTCGCTTGGGTGGTCAGGTCGAGTGACGTCACTAAAATTGTTAAAGGAAATATAGCTTCTAGAACAATAACAAAATATTGGAAAAATGAGGAAAAATTTATAATACAAGAAATAATTATTGCGGAAACAATGAAAATGAGAAAAAGCTAGAAAATTGAAGAAAAGAAAAATATATCATTTTACATAACGATCACGTGATTGTTAGGGGTAACGCTTGGCACTGTCTCCAAGTGCGTTATCACCAGGAGGCTCAGGTGTCCGTACCTGGTGCATCGACATCGTATGATGTCCCCTCCTTTATTGACACATCTTAATCCATATACATGCATAAATTAGGACAATTAAAAAAATCGTAGTAAAAGGAGTGCACCGAGGCACCCAAAGTCAGTCAGTATTGTAGTATAATGAGGAGTCCGAAGTAGTCAATCTTCGTCAGAGTAGTCGTCAATAGTAGTAGTCAGGGAAGGATCCCTTAGTACAACGATTCCGAATTCCTTTTTCCGCGGTTTCCTTCGTGTGCGATTTTATAAAATTTAATTAATTAAAATTCGTGACGTAATTGGACTCAAAATTGAAGTGATTTTATATATAAAAAAAAAACACATTTTACAAGTGATAAACATTTGATTGTTGTGGGAAATCGAGCAACAGGAACAAATTAACGGAACATGGATTACAGAAAGGAAATCGCGGAAAAATGGATGAGTTTAATTTTTCTTGATTATTATTAATTTTTTCCTTCATACGCAAACGTGAGAAAATAATATTACAGAGAATTGTTTGTTTGGATCAATTGTTGTTTAATAATTAAATCAAATTTGGAATTGTGAATTAGATTTTTATTCCTATATTATTTTAGCAATTCACCTTACTCCGATCCCAAGCTATTTCCGAAAGGTAGGCCTAAAAACGGAGAAATTAAAACCCATTATTTTGCGTTGTTTATTTGATAATTATTATCGAATAAAACAATGGAAAACGTGACGTAACACGAAAAATCTAAATTTCCTGTCAATTTCAATTTTCTTTAGACAATGTTAACTTTCGATTAGAAAATTTGGTTTATATTTTAATGTTGATAAAATCGTTGACTTCAGTTTTGGTGTAATTCACTTTCTTCGTTATTCAGGTGGAAATTGCATATGATTCTTCATTTGCACCTTAATGAGACCACCCAGGTATTCCAAAAATCTCGCTAACATCCCCAGCTTATCCAGATTAACATTTTTTAACAAAATGGCAGGGAATCTCCAGGCTTTTCAATTGCTTGCTTCACTACCTACTCGGAAATTTCGATTTGAGATTACGAAGTTCCCAAAATTGTTAAAAAAAATCCAACGAAGTCAAGCAGAATTTCATTGGATTTCTAGTGAAACTTTTTCTGTAATAATTGAGCTGAAGAATTAATATGGATGTTACGTCCCTACCATATGCCCTAGGATGGCGCTAGCAATTTTTTCTACCTTATTTTATCGACTGCGAGCCTTACCGACACTTAGTACATAAGTCCCAAAATTAGCAAATATCTTATTTTTATTTTCACCAATTACTAAAATTATCAAAAACCGGTATTTTAGATATTCGAAACTTCAAAGATATTTTTTCGTGGGAAAAGCATAAAGCTGCTTTTCCCACACTCAAGATCAGATTTTAAATGAACTTAATGCACACGTGCATAGTAAATATTCCAGAAACGAAAACAGAATTTCCCTTTTACACCCGTACATCGTAAAAATCCCCGAAAACCATTAAAAAACCAGATAATTTTCAAATCTCTAAAAAAGTTATTGGAACACGGCGAACCCCGGAAATCCTAAAGTACCATAAATTTTAAAGAAACCCTCTCGAATCTCAATAATCCGTGCGATCAGAATTTTCCCCAATGATAAAAACACAGCTGCATTTTAATCACCACAACTCCAATCACAACCCTCCAACTCGACGGCTAACCCAAAGTCAACCGTCTCGCCTCCCTACCACCTCCCATCAGCCAATCCTATCCTCTAACTCAGGGTGCGCACGCCCCCGTGAGTCTCCCGCAGCATTTTCCTCATACGTAGATTCAACCCTATAAAACTTGCTCCTAAAAGCCCCAAAACACAGTTCCATTTCGACTTCCACGTCCATTACTTCATTTTTCTAATTCAATTCCAACTCTGACTCAACTCCGAAGATTCAGTAATTTTCTCTTCAAATTTCAAGTGAATATATTTTACTAAAATTAAATCAAAGGATTTCTTTAATTCAAAGTGTTCATAAACATCTATATAAGTAAATCGCGCTTTGTATAAGTTATTGTAACAAGATTGTGAAACCAAGGGTAATCAAGTGAAGTTTAAATCCGAATAAAACTGTTAAAACTCTAGTTAAACCAACTCGTGTCTCAATTGATCAGCCACGCAGTGGCCTTGATTAGTGGAACCTACCTAAGGAATATAGCTACCCACTGACAACCGGAGTTATCTCTCATAGGTGTGAATTTACTAAAATCCAAACTTCTCAACATCTATAGGGACGTAACATGGAAAATAGATCTTTCACATTAGATTTAGGTTTTAGATTTAGATTAATAAACGCGGAGGGTCGGAGTGGCCTTCCCAATGCCACCAAATTCAAGTTAGAGTTATTGTAGCCACACTTGTTTGAGGTTCGTATTATATGTGCAGCCCGGCCTTTTTTCCCAGTCTCAACAAATCGGTTGCCTCCTTGCTCGTGACTTGGCTAGTGGTGAGGAAAGCAGTGCCCCACCAACGTAGTTTCGTCGCTGCTAATGCCGGACAGTCGCACAGAATGTGTAAACTATCTTCTTTTGTTTCATTGTAGAATCTGCACCGCCCATCAGAGTCCATGCCGATGACTCTGCAGTGTTCTTTAAATCTGTCATGTCCTGTGAGCAGCGTAATCATGATGGCCAGACTTTTCCTGTCCATGACCAGTAGGTGTTTCGATCTTTTCTTGCTGGGGTCAGGCATAATTGCCCTAGCTTTCCTGCAGATCTTGTATTTCTAGCGGTTGCATTGTTCTTGTCGGAGTTTATCTTCTATGTGGCGTTTACCCACGCTTTGGGGGACTCCCCTTGGGTTGCCCCTTGCTTCACCAGCCCGACCGCCATTTCGTTGTCGTGGATGTGTTCGTGAACTAGGATCCAGGAAAGGGTTACCGTATTGTTGGTCCCCAGTTTCTGCAGGCTCTCCATGGTTTCCCAACCCAACTTAGAGTCAGCACTGGGGTTAAGGAGAGCTTTTATAGCGGCTTGACTGTCTGACCATACGAATATATGTTTTTTGGTTGTCATCCGGGACACCAGAAGCTCTGAGCACTTTTTGATTCCCAGAACTTCCGCTTGGAATACTGTAGCCATTGTTCCCAAGAACCAATTGCGTTTGTAGTTTTTCCCTGGCTCATACAGTCCTGCTCCAAAGCAGCCTTTGTATCCTGAGCCGTCTCTGTACCAGTGCATAACATTAGTGGCTGGTGTTTCACTTACAGTTTTCCAGTTCTCCTTCTCAGGAATGTAGGTCTTAAAGGCTTTCCTGATTTGGTACTTCTTGGTCATTTTATCTTGACTCAAGTTCCAGGGATTTTTCTCAGGGATTTATAGTTTAGCGTGTGCCGCTCTCGCTTGAATCCATTCCCCCTGGCACAGAAGTCTATAGGCTGTTGATTCTGCCTTACTCACCAGAGAAGGTCACCAAGAAGATCGAGTGGAGGCAGGTCAAGAGCGATTTCAGGGGCGTCCGTGGGTGTCGTTTTCATAGCCCCAATCGCTGCCCTCAGGAATTTTCTCCAGCGTTTTTAGAACGAAAGAGGTTATGCTGATGTCTCGAAAGTCTCTTGACTTGATGAAGCCGTTTCGGCCGGGCTTGGGTAGGAATACGATTTTGGCCGCTAGAGCCCAATCATGTGGTTTGTAAAGGCTTCCCGTTTCCCTTGTGGTCTGTTTTATGCTTTCCGCTTGTAAAGCCGGGAAAGTGTTCTTCGAGAACAAGTCGCAGGGATTCTTTCGAGGACTAAGTATAGGTGACGTCTGGCTTCATTAAACAGCCTTGGTTGGCGCCACCATGACCCCCCAGTACCTTAACTAGCCTGGAGGCCTCGGACAGATTCTCGACTCCGCTACTGAACCTCTTCCAGTTTTCTCTCCTAGCTTTCGCCAGGGCTCTGTTGTATTGCTTCTGGAGTGATTTTCGTTCCTCCACGGCCTTCCTGCTGCGTAGGTTACCGCAAGAATTTTTCACTTTGTTCCCCGCTCTTCGTACCTGGTCCCTTCAGTTTGCTAGGTCTGCGTTCTACCAGTTCACCTGTTTGGTTCCTTTAATGGCGCGTATTGAACAGTTGTTTTCAAAAGAGCTTCTGATCGATTCTCCGGCATATTCCAGTCGCTCCTTGTTCTCGAACCTGCTGGGTGCGTCCTGTATTCTTCGTGAGAGCTCTTCTTTGTATCCCTTCCAGTCTGTTTTTCTCGGATTTTTCTTCCGAATGGAATCCACTCTGCCACTCAGCTTAAGGCGTATCTGACCATGATCCGAGCCCGAAAGTTCTTTGGAGTTCCTCCAGTCTCTAATCAAATCTGCCATACCTGCTGTGCGTATGGTGATATCCAGCACCTTCTGTCTTCTGCAGTCCATGAAGGTCGGTTCGCCCACCCTATTCAGGAGTAGCAGATTCTTGATCATCATGAAGCCGTGTAGGGCTTCTCCCATGGCATTGGTGTTTGAGCTTCCCGTCCCCAGATGGTGTGAGTTCGCGTCACAGCCAAGTAGGAGTTATGTTCCCTCGTCCTTCACTCTAGCCAAAAGCGCCTCCACCTCAGGTGTTGGCGGGGGATCATCGGAGTTGTAAGGTAGGTAGGCTAAACCTACTGCGTATTCCAACGGTCCATTGCCTCTTATTCGGGCTTTTAGCTTGGCTACGGCCAAGTCCTCTTTTTCTGAGCTGTGGTATGCAACTAGCTTCCATGCCCTTGATCAGGATACATGCCCTTACTCTGTGTTCTCTGGCGTTCCCATGGAATAATCTCTCACAGCCTCCCAGGCCCCTGATAGTCCCATCCACGAATTACGGTTCTTGAATGAGAGCTATGGCTGTTTGCATCCCAGCAAGCGTCCGGCAGAAGATGTCGAAAGCACTTTTACTGTGATGCAAGTTGATCTGAATGATTTCGATCAACCCGTGAGCCATTGAAGAGCTCTTGGAGTTCCGCAATGAGGTCTAAAATTGCAGGCCTTTAGACACTGCAGGGTTTTCTCGCTGACAAGCGCAGTAAAATGGGCGCTCGTGGCTTCCTTGCTTTCACTGCCCTTGACGACGAGCCAGTCCTCTTCTACGAGTCCTGCATTCTGCCTCCCCATCAGATCGATTGCTTCCCGGGTGGACATGTCCTCGTCTTCCACATGCACCACGACTCTGTGGCGCCTTCCCTATTTTGTTTCCGGGGAATCGGCTTCTCAGCCACATCGCCGTCTCTTCATCGGAGCAGCTAAAAATTACCCTCCCTTCTCTTTCCCACATGCCTTCGAAGGTCGGGGTTTTGGTTCCCTTTGGTAGAGGTAGGATCTGGGACTTCACTAGTCCCTCCAGGCCCTTCATCTCCTCCTGCGAGCTTTTCTTGTTCGGGTAGCCTTCTAGGACAACAGCTAGTCGAACCATTTTTATCGCGGTCTAGGCGTACGACGCAGGATTGCTCCTGCGTCTCTTTCCCGATCGCGATCTTTCACATTAAGCCTACAGAAAAATTAATCAATTTTTTTCTATTGAACATTTTTCTTGTAAAGATGCGCAAATATGAAATAAAAAATAAAATTCCGTAAACTTTAAATAGGTTTAGTAGGAAAGCGCTGAGTGGTTTTATTATTTTTTGACCATTTTTAGCGTGTGCTTGGCGAAAATCTTTCATTGAGCATTTCTCCATTATCACAACTCTGCAACAAATCCATTAATGAAAGATAAGTGGATTGCGGAGAAGTTAATGATGAGGGGGGTGATCGTTTCGGACCCTGATACGCTGATACGTGCAGCCTACATTGCAGTAAGAACAACGCAGATGTTCACGCTCTCTCTGCTCTTCCCACTCCATCCCACATGGGACACAGACCACCAGGTAGTTACATGGTCTGGCTAACAATTCAATTGGGCGAATCAGGCAGATATGGCACGTCGAATCCAGTTCGTCTGTACCGTCTTTAATAATGAACAGTTTTTCAGTCGACTGCATTCCTTGGGCACAGATCGAGCAAGCTATGTTGAGAGGCTCACGCCCCCTGCTATCGCGTTAATTTCTGCTGCATTCTGCTGACAGTAGAGGAGACAGAAGCACTGCACTGCAATGTTCTCCACAACGTTGACATTACACCGGACACATCGGTTTGGAAGCCTTCTTGGTCCCCTGGCACTTACTATTGGACAGAATTTTTAATTTAATTGAATATAAATGAATGTAGTTTAATCTACGCAATTTACTTCTAAAAAATGTTCGAAAATAGAAAAGCGAAAAATATAAATGCGGCGAACTTTCCGAAGTCACGACGTCGATTCTGTGCGAGTCATTCAAATAGACTGTAATTGAAAATGTTAAATTAGTCGCGACATTTAACAAATTAATTTCATTCACCAATATTTCCCTCCACTGCGATAGGGCCTCTGACCTCTGAGCACCTTCGGCTTGGACGGCAATACCACGCGACCAAAAATCTTTATGACATTACCGGTGATGTCTTGTCGTTGTATTCCGAAGCTGGGGGCGCATGTGTTGCATGAATTTGCAGGAGATTAAAACTATTTTAAAGAGATTTAAAAGTCGTAATTAGCTTTTATTTCTGTATTAGAATTCAGGGATTGGACGACCAAAGAAGATTGTTCTGGAATACAAAGGACAAGGGGAACGGGAAACATCCTTCAAGTGTGAAGAAAATAGTTTATAAATAAACCATAAATGGCGAGTGGTTGTGTTTAGTTTAAATAGTTTACAGTTCTCAAAATTTACGTCGAGGAAACGCTTTTTCTATAAATGAAATTTGGAGAGTCGAGTTAATTTTTAAGTCACGGTCTTAAGTCATTAAATACCAATTTCTGTTTATCCTGGAGGTATGCCGTTGCACGCCTGCAACAAGTGTGTGTATTCATTGTCCATTGTATTCGCCAGGTTGAGGACCTGGAGTCCCGACAGAAAGGAAACTTGGGACGTCACACGTTCGCCTCTTTTGCTTTCCTTTTGTCTTGTGTTACACTTTTCCTTTTCCGGAGCGCCTTTTTTACGTGGGCAGGTAATAAAGTGGGGGTTGGTGGACCCAACTCTTAAAAATAAAATTAAGATAAGTTAGTTCATTTTCCACAAGCCCTCTGCTTACAGCTTCTCTCTTCAAAACGTAAAAGTTCTAGTTAGCTATGAAGTTTCAAGTGTATTACTGAGTTTGAGTTCCAAAATTAAGTGTGAATAAAAGTGTTTATGTGTTCTCTTAATCACTCGTGTTTATTCATATTTATTATCGAATTAAAATAATTCGATCACCCTAAACCCATCATCAACCAACTTCGATGGAGTCCTCATTAGAGGTTTAGTGTCTACTAGAGGTTTAGTGGCCCCACATTCAAAGATTGGCGCTAAAGGGATTACCTGGCGCAACCTTTCTCCTAATTACTTAGGGAGAACGTAACATAGTTATGGACAATATTTTTCCGTAGTGATTTTCACTTTTTCGAGCACAAAGAAGGGCCAGCGCCTACGTCCGGACGAAGAAAAGAGAAAAGCCGTATAATATGGAATAATAGAACACCGAATATATACATACATATGTCTACACATGTAGGAACAGACTCTAAAAAAATGCATATCCAATCTTGTGGGATATAAGTTGCTATAACAGAAAAAATCAAAAACTTAAATTTGCGCATACAAAGAGAGTGTAGAGTTCGAGATTTTAAACGTAACTTACGAGGTTTCTGACCCCAATTACATGTTGAAAACTTTAAATTACGATTTCAGAAAACGCAAAGTATGATTTTAACCTCGTAAAATATAAGTTCTACGTCGTAAAATACTCAGACTGAGATGGTAAATGCAACGATATGAATGCAAAATACTTTACCAGGCGATATCAGATCTTCCCGTTTAAGGAGACACTGAGTCATCTGATCATAAATTTAGAGACATTTATTCAAATTTTTTTCAAGAAAATTTAGAAGATTGGGAAAGTTTAGAAACTTTGAGAAATATTGCGAAAACTATGGAAGAGGACAACTTAATCGTGAACTTTGCTTAGAGGAGACAGGAGAGGCAATATTTTGTAAATGAAAAAAGTTTATGTAGTAAAAATCCAAGTTTCTTCATCCCGTACTTCACGAGATCTGAAATTTCGTGCATTACATTTAAAATGTGGTATTTTATACTTATATTGCGCAGCGCTCGTTGAGACCTTCCAAATTATTTACAATATATCCCTATGAATTGCGTCAAGTGTTAAGATAATTATAAAAAACGTAAATTTGAAAGAGTAACATAACGGAGAAAAATGGAAAAACTTTAACTTTCCAAAACCACCATTAAATCAAATAGAACTG